ACTAGTTACGCTCAACAACATTCCAATACCGCAAGCAAATGACGTAGTTTTTTGGCATCCATCTTAAGAGAAGACTGACTTGCAGCAAACACATAAATAGTAATCTATGAACACAATGAAATTGAAGTTTAATTAGTTCTATTGGCTTATGAACCCAAATAGTGAATTTTGTCTCGAAAACAAACTCTTACTTTACAACTGTGTCATTAAACCTATATGGACTTATGAAATTAATTTATGGTGCTTAGCTTGCTTTTCAAATATTGAATCGTTCAGAAAATAACAGGACACGAAAAATAACAAGAGCGTCGTGTTATGTAAAAAATTCTAATATCCATAAGGATCTAAACATCCCGCTAGTAAAGGATGTTGCCTGAGCATACGTAGGCAAATATCTTACGAAGCTAAATGTGCATCCCAACCCACATGCCAGACAATTACTTTTTACATTTAGATCTTTGCGTCTGAAAAAAAACCACTGAGTTCAATTTAAATACATTATTATTAATATTTAAAATATATTTTGTTAATTCAATAGAGAGGCATATCTAATATAGATGAAGAGGAAAATGTAGTATTTGCCTCTCCATCTTCAAAAAAATTACAAACAAGTCACAAGGCTTTAAATTTTTATATTTACTTCAAGATTTGAAAATTTATTCTAAATTTCTTATGTTAAGATGAATTCAATAAAACATTAAATAAAATGAAATGTAACAAACAAACATTTGCAGTTATATTAATTATTTTGTAACCAAACAATTTTAATAATAAAAAATTTTGACCAATTAGCCTGAAAAAACACTTTATTTGCAGTTGTAGGCAAAATCCAGGGAATCGCAATTTTTCCGTTCCGGTTCAAGACAAAATAAAATATATCGGTTCGGTTTCGGTTTTCGTTCCGACAAAAGTATCGGTTTCTTTGGCTTCGGTTCGGTTCCGATTTGATGCTCTGGTATAATCCTTTTATTATTATTCTATTGTCATATGCCTACAGTACTCTACAAATTCAGATTTCTGTAGCATACATATCCAAATATTAAATACCAGTTACTGATTTCTAGATAATAAAACATTGTTATGGCATACAATAATTGTTGACTTGGACATGAGTATATATGTTAACATCAATGATACTTATTTTAAGAACTTTATTTGCTGTGCTGAAATCCTAATACCCGCAGCTATTTTTTTATTAGTATAAGAAGTTGTTATTCAGTAGTTGTTAGAAAAATGAGTATGAATTTATTTAAAGTTTAAAAATCAAATTAAAATTAATTAAAAATTAAATTTATTTAATGTAGTTGACTTTATATCTTTGCAATATGTGAGATTTCAAATTATGATTTACTGGGTTCGTAACAATTTAAGGAAAATAGCGTCACGGTGCATTATCCCGAATAAGGTGAAATAAAGATATAAATAATAAATATCAATAAATTAATGTATATTTTTGCAACAATAAACTAAACGAAAAATAATTTTATTTCTATGAAAAAAAAATTATATTATGAAATCGTTATTGACGGTTATTTAGTGATTTATGCCTAATAAAAAGATTTATACATAATAAAAAACGAAAACAAAATTAATATTATTTACATTAAAAATAGTACATAACAGAAAAAAAAATATTTATACAAAAATTTTTATTTATAAATAAAGCACACACATAATCAATCTACCCACTTTTACTTAATACTAGTGATATTCGTATTCGGTTCTACGAAGTATGCGGAGAATCCGATTAATCGAATAGTAAACGAAGTCTCCGGAGTTGAGAAAAAAATCGGATTATTTGTAAATCCACAGTCTTCGAATATCCGGATCTGCGGTTATTATTCGCAGTGAAATTATTTGGAGACTTCGTGAGCAAAAGTAAAGGGAGAGCACAAAATGCAAATGGACGGGCATCACACAAATAAACACAATTTTTTTCAGGGATTATAGAATTTGTTGTTGTTTATCGATTTTATGAGTTTAGTATTTTACGCAGAAAGTTATACGTGTGTAATATTTTTTTTTATTTTATTTATTTCATTTTATAACAAAAGTCGAAAATTAAATTGTTTCAACTAAAAACTTTAGGCAAATTTATGTGAGAGTTAATAAGCGACTGTAGTAAATAAAGCATCTGATCCCAGCATCTACAGAAAAGCATACCAATCATTCGATTGAATGCAAGATCTTGAGATTCACCACAAACGAAATAATTCAACTTACACTTTTTCAGTAACTTGGTTAGAGAATTTAATATAATCAAAATTTTTTTTTTCGACGGCAAATTCTCATGCGCAATGGTGCTTATATTAGCATTTTGATCTGCATTTTGATATCATAAACTTTCTAACTATAGCTTAGATACTCATTGAATATTTTTCTCCTCAGGTCCGGTTAGTTGATCTCATCGTCCGTTATCGTTATTATTTTTATTGGCGATCGTTACACTTTCGTAATCTCACCTACTTTCAGAGGCGAAGACATGTCTGTTGCACTGAAGATCTGTTGCTTGCTCTTTTCAACATGTCCTTCCATACTTCATAAAAACTCCACTTCCGTTATGATTTGTCCCAACAAACTACGTATAATCGCAAAGCACGAGAGCTGTTTACAATAACGCTCTATACGTTCAATTAAATTTTTTTACCATTATTCAGCACTTCGTTTACAGTTGTTTCACTGCAAGTGTATGTATGTTTACATTGCTTTCCACACCTCTAAGAATTGTCAGGATTCTTCCCGTTTATATTCGTTTTGCTTCTGCTTCAAAAAGGCGTATGGAAAATCAACCCAACTTCTGAGAATTGAGATATACGATGATATTTACAGAATAGTAAAACAATGTACTTAGGTATTTAAAAAAACAAAATATTTCAAAGTATTGTCTTATAAGTGGTTATAATAACTGTTGGACTGCAGTTGCCATACTCACAACCTTGAATCTCTCAAATTAGGAAATATTACTATATTCGCTTCTTAACCAAACGAGCCAAAGCTGCACGAAACTTTTATTGTTAAAGTTTCAAATTTTTTTGTTACATTTTTTTGATTTCAACTTATGGAAATTACAATCAACTAGTATAATATTTTAATCGCTAAAGCTTGAATTCACAATTCTAATTAATAATGGATAATATTTGCAGGTTTTCATTGACAGTAGCAATCCAGAACAAGTTAATGATGTTACATATATTAAGCACCATGAACAACTTCCTTGTTTCTGCAGTTTAGTGTTTGTTTCATTCTGGATAGCTCTATTCTGTGGTCTAGTTTTACCAAATTTCCATTATGTGCCTAAGGGTTTAACTATAATGAATCACCAAGGAAATGACACTGATTTTGTTGCAGAACGTGCTATGAATATACTTAAGGAATTGGAAATAATAGGACCAAAGGTTGTGGGTAGTTATGCGAATGAAAATTTGACTGTACAACTACTCCTCAATAAACTCATAAATATAAAAGAAAGTCTACATAAGGATCTTTTTAATATGGAGATCGATCAGCAAATTGTATCAGGGGCTTATATACACTGGCAAATGGTAAACATGTACCAAGGAGTACAAAATGTGGTAGTTAAGTTTTCCTCAAAAAATTCCACTAGTGAATCAGCTTTATTAATTAACAGTCACTTCGATTCCAAACCAGGAAGTCCAGGTCTAGTGACTTGCATTTGCTATATAGTTTTTATATCTAAACTTAACTAATTAAGGATCTGGTGATGATGGAGTCATGGTTGTTACTATGCTAGAGGCGCTAAGAGTACTGTCTACAACTCGCGAGACTTTAAGACATACAATAATATTTCTTTTCAACGGAGCAGAGGAAAATCCCTTACAAGCTTCACATGGTTTTATAACACAACATAAATGGGCCAAATATTGCAAGTGAGTTCCAATCATTTATTTTAGTTAGAACTAATTAATATATTTATTTCGTTTCAGAGCAGTTATAAATTTAGACTGTGCTGGAAGTGGGAATCGTGAAATATTATTTCAAACAGGTCCAAATCACCCATGGCTTATAAAGGTAAAAGAAAACAATACCACTAAAATTTCACAGAATTAACGTTTTGACTGCTAACGCTGAATGAAACTAATATGCTACTTACTATATAATATGACTTTACTATTATTTTTTATGTATTAAAATTGCTTAGAAATAATTATTTATGACGAAAAGAAAATATTTAAGAGTTAGAAGGGTTCGAAAAGAAATTAAAACACAACAACAAAAAATTTAGTTAATTTGTGGGAGTTTGGCTGACCATACAACGCTTTTTCGAGTATTGCCAAGTACTCATCTTCAGTGGTCTTAGGAAATATTCGATTTTTTAATTAGGCCGTATACATATATTGTTGGTTATTCATTTCTATTCGAACCCATTCTGCAATTTGGCAAAATATAATGAATATGATATTGAATTAATTTCTTACAACTGCTACTTACTATTCAAATAAATACTTGAAAATGTATAAGTAGTTCTGTAAATTATACGATTTAGTTGAGGTTTATGCACTTGCTTCGAAATACAGAAGGCAAGTGCATTAATCAATTGCAATTAAAGAAAATAAGAGTAGTAAACTTGCTCCACTCATGTCAAGTGCAATGTTTGTATGATTATAGTTCTATAGGCGCCACTAACTTTTTCCATTATGCCATATATCAGTATAGCTTTATTCTTAAGATAGTAGACTAGACAATTTTTCCCCCTAAATCATTTAACCACAAGATAATATTATTGAAGCCTCTTATCCACCAAATTAATAAATTACAATTCTGTGAACCAATATCAAAAAACTTGATCATGACCAATAACTTATTATTTATTATGCTATTGAAGTACTATAGTCAGCATGTGAAGCGCCCATTTGCGACTACTATGGCTGAGGAAATATTCCAAGCAAATCTTTTGCCCTCAGATACAGATTTTCGCATTTTTAGGGATTTTGGAAAAATTCCAGGTAAAACTATGTTCTCAATATTTTTTTATTATTTTTTATATTAACTCAAAATAACTAAAGGCTTGGATTTGGCGCATACATATAACGGATATGTATACCATACAGCTTTTGACAGAACAAATGTTATATCGTTGGGAAGCATTCAAAATACGGGCAATAACCTAATATCATTAATACGGGCTTTAGGCAATGCTTATGAGTTGGATAATCCATCGGTGAGTAAATATTTCCGAAATAATTTTTTTCTATAAATTTTTATTTACATCCGTAGTTATACGCTAAAGGGCACACCATATTTTATGACTTCCTTGGCTTTTTTCTAATTAATTATTCAGCAACTGACGGGCTGAAAATTAATTTTTGTACATCAGTCTTGACCATCATTCTAGTAGGAATTTCTATTTGGCGCATGGCAGCTGTAGTTTCGATTTCTATGAGTAGTGCTGTTTCTTATTTTACATTTGTTGTATTTCTCCAAATAACTGCATTTATCTCTGCAAATATATTAACAATATTGACCGCAGCAACATTAGACCTCATAAATCATTCTATGTCTTGGTTTAGCAATAAATGGTTGGTTATTGGGTTATATATATGTCCGACATTATTCGGATTAATATTACCAACATTACTTCATATTCACTACAAGTATAGCGTAAGTACTTTCAAAAATAATATAATTGATACATAACTTTGTGTATTTAAAGCATACATTGTTGAGGCAGTATCAACTGCAAATGATTCTACACTCTCACAGCTTTCTGCTCTCCATTAGCTGCATGGTAACAACATCCTTAGGAATTCGTACATCGTACACCCTTATGATTCCAATATTATTTTATAGTTTTTCTCTTGTTGTGAATTTAATTACAACTCTCCATGATCACGGTAAATAAGAATAATTTTTATAACTTCCATGATGTATATGTTCTAATTATTATAGCTTATTTTTGGGCTATAACTGTTCTCATTGGTCAGATAATGCCTTTTTTGTACTTTAGTTATGTCACAGTTATATTCTTATTCACACTTATACCCATGATGGGACGCTATGGCACTGCTTTAAATCCAGATATTGTTATAGGTAGTCTTTGCTGTTTTGGAACATTATTAGCAGGAGGGTTTCTGGTAAGTCAGTCTGAGTTCTTGAAAACTGATTTACTTACTGTTTTATATTTCAGATACATTTATTTCATTTTTTTCGACGAACTAAATTGCTTGTTACTTTTATACTCATTGTCTACTTTGTATTTCTGATAATTGCTACAACACCAGTTGGGTTTCCATATAGATCTAAGACTAACGTTGACAGAGTCAATTTCTTGGTAAGTTTATTTCAAGATGTTTTTAAAAATAAGTCTCTTATTATGAACTTTTAGCACGTTTATCGAATTTTTTATGATTATGCTGGAAATATCAGTCTTAATGATAGCGGTTATTATTTCGATTTCCAGGATAGAAATGCAGAGCGGCCCATGAAGTGTATTTACTTTTCATTATTATAATTAAATGCATAATTACTTATAATTAAATATTTCAGTAATATTTCTATTAAAAATTATATTTTGTTGTAATTCTATTTTTTTCAGCTTTTATTGATTTAAATTCTATGAAAAGCATTGATGAAGACTGTAAACGATACATGATGTGTGGACTTCCTTTATTTAATCATCGGATGTATGCTGCACGAAAATATGGAAAGTGGTTCCCCACTTATAACTCAACACAAATTTTACCTCTGCCTTCATTGCGCTTAATTGAAAAATATAATATAACAGATCTAACTTTACGGTATGAATTTGAGCTAGAAGGACCTTCTCATATGAGTATTTTTATTCAACCCTTTGATTATGCTTCTATATCCAACTGGTCATTTTTAAAGGAAAAACTTTTACGATGGCAACCACCATATCACATATATTTTTCATATGGTATTGATAGATCACCTTTGAAATTTTATTTAAATCTTACGGTTAGCGTCATTTTACTTACTGATAACATATTAAATCTGTTTCACGACCTACTCGTAGTAAAACTCGAATAAAACACAAGTAAAATATAAACTGAGAGCGTAACACACAGATTTTCATGAAACAGCTTTGTGTAAAGTCTGGTAAGAACACCAATGCCGCGCAAATAAACAATACAAAAATTTAAGTTCAAACCAAAACAGCTGATTCACATATCAACACAAATTTTACTTTAAAAAAATGTTCGAGTATAGCTGTGTAGCATTTTCAATTTTCGACAGGGATGTTACACTCTTGAACGCACTTGTGTATACACAGTGTTACTCAAAGTTACTACGAGTAGCTCGTGGAACAGACATGATAATTTTAAAACTAAAAAAACTTATATTCTTAGGCAAAAAATGGTACAATTGACGAAAACACACCGCTTTTCGAACTCGGTGTTGCTGCTCATTATATAAGTTACGAGCACAAGCGCGAAGAAAACGTCACAGCATTCATAGGAAAGTTTCCGAAATATGTACATGCAATGGAATGGCCAAGCATATATGAACGATACATATTTTGAAATACATAGATATGTAATTATAACATATATACATCACAGAAAACTTAAAACATTTACTACAAATTTATTGCATTTTCAGCGTCAGTAATGCTTAGGATGTATTCGTTTATACACACACATATTTATTTTCCTCAAAAAATTTCTTTTAGAGAAATCTAATATACAGGAGTTCAAGTTTTTAAGAGTTTATAATGTACACTTACGAATATATTCCGCAATAGATTTTAATTATGTTATAATGGGCTTGCCTTAAACTTTTATTTAAAATGAAAATTAAACCAAAAAAAATAAAATTACAATCAAGAAGTTTTCTATTGTTTCTTTTGGCATAAGCAATTAACTGTTCTTCCAGATCTAGAGGACATCTTACATCTTTTCTAGGGAAAAATGCTGATGCAACAATGATATCTCTGTTGTTGATTGTGATTGTTGCCGCGTACAGTAACATAGTCTGTCAACGGAAATAAAAAAACATTATGAAAAGCTGTACGTGTTGGTCTATTTAAGTTCTTGCATCAAAGCAATTGTAAAAATTGGTATAATAACTCCACTGGGTGAAGTGTTTTAAAATCCATCAAAATATCCCATTGTATGATTGCAAACTAAGCCCCCACACAGCCTCAAGGTGTATGCTCGGAAATATCAAATTTGTAGAAATATACAAATTTATAATATATAAATATATTTAATGTTACATATGCGTTTACATATGCCTTTTACTTTTACATTTGGTGAAACAGATAAAACAACAATTTCATCGAAATCAAATCTTGTCATTACCGACAATATAAGACAAAATTTCTCACGAATGCCGTATACATATTTTCGAATCTATATCTGGGTTGTCTCGTCTCATTATTCTGTCTTCTACAAGCGCCGATATTAGGATATGGCCCCGCAATGTACTTCACATCAAGTCCATAAATGCAACGTCACAATCATTCATCTATTTGTCATATAAATGTAAACGTCGGCGGTTCACTACCGCCATCAATCAACTGTACGTATATATCAATCGTCATTGACCGTTTCAGCAAATGGCCATAAGCGATTCCAATTCTCGATCAAATCGTTAAAACTATCGCAAACGCATTGTTAACTCAGTGGATCGCTTCTGATCCACTGGTGACGTTTTGGCGTATCGTTACATATTACAGCAAATTAAGGCAGATAATTTAAATCTTTCTTATTCAATAAATTTACTGAATTAAACGGTTGCAAATACTTACGAACTATGAGTTATTATCCTCAAAGCAATAGAATGATAGAACGATGTCATCGTATATTAAAAGCAGCCTTAATGTCTCATCAAACAACAACTTGGACAGGACTTTTACCAGTAGTATTTTTAAGCTTACGCACAGCTTTTAAGCCAGATATCTGAGGGTTTAAATAAATGACTTGTCAAAATTAGAACACAGTGTTCTCTTTCTAGCTAAATTCAGTGACTTCGCCGCTTAAGGAAAAGTACTACTTCAGCACCAAACAGAACAATAAAACATTTGGACATCTCACATCAAGAAGAAAAACAAAAATTAAACGTTTTTTCCATATATGTGCGCATCGCACTAAACCAAAACATGTTATTGTAAATATTAAACATTAATTAAAAAGATTAAATTTATAATAAACTAATAATTCGCATTGTAAAATTGACATTTTAAAACATAATATTGTAATTATTTAAATTAACATGTATTGCAATTACTTCTTTTTTTATTATATTTCATTTATATGTTTTCACATGAATTCTTTTCTTTATAGGCCGTTATCACATAAATTTAGCACTTCAATATATGTGTTTCCCTGTTAAATAATTAAATCAGGATATAACTTTTAGAAACTCTTTCTCCTTACTATCTTTTGAGCGATAGAGAAGAAAAAATTCAACACAATATACTTTTTATTTACATTTTACTTAAACTATGTACGTGCATAGACCCATTGTGTAAAATACTGCGATTCAAAAATTTATAATTAAGATTGACGTTTGAAACTTCTGGCAACATTATTAAAAGTGCAACAGTGAGTTTTTGTTTATCAAATCACAAGTCAGTGAAATCGCTGCAGTAAGTGTTGTTGAATTAGGTGTTAATTATTGTCATTGACTGTTTGATAACAATTTAAACAAATTTTAAATGTAACATTAATAATGGAAGAAGGTCGCTACCGTTTACGTTCCGGTCCTTCTCATATTAAATGTTATGTTCTGTTCGTAAATGTCACTACTAGAAATGTAGATATTCTGTGGATTGATCCGGGAGGAATTGAAAAATTGTTTGCATCTATTAACCCTGGTAAAAAGGTTAAAGTGGATACATTTCAAACACATCCTTGGGTATTTAGAGATAAGGATACAGGAGAGTATATGCAAGTGGATCATAAAGATGTGTTTTGGCCAACGCCATGTGTTAAATTATTGCCAAACTTTCCACAAGGTGCTTTAAATTGTCGGAGGGCAGTTAACATTCATTCTCCAGTCCGCAGTTTGCGAGAAATATGTTTATGGAATATATTAAAAAATATATCGTCTGACATACTTACATTAAACAACGACAGCATTTGCGCTCTTGGCTTACCAGTAACACTTACTAATGAGCTGCTAGCAAAAGCGCGATCTATTAGTTTGTATAAGAAACTGTAATTATTAAAACAAAGACTGTAAACATTTAATGTTAGAATCAATATTTTATGAATTTAATGTTACAACACATACACATAATAAACACATTTAATATGAAATGTTTTATATTAAGTATAGTTTATAAATAGATATATGTATATAGAGTATAGTTTATATTTATTTACGAAGTTTGAACGAAATTTAATTAAAAAAGAATAGTGCTCTTGGTAAAAATATGATACTATTAGTGGAACATCTTTTAATTTATAAGTAGCATTGCTCGGCTTTACTGGTTATTTTATGACTTAAGTTTCTATGTTTGTTAAACAAACTCAAAATAAATCTATTTACTTTAATAGTATAAATAATATGTCAGGATAGAGCACAGATAGTAAACGTTAAATAAAAATATTTCGTTATAAGCAAACTTCGAGTTTTTTTTTTTATATTTAATTATTTGTGAACACGCATATCTGCATAATACTACACAATAAGTTTATCAATATGTTGTAGTTTCACATACACTTCATATTTATATTAGTTTTGAATACAGATACATAATTTTTGGCATGATTGGATTAATTTACTAATAAAATTTGTTGCACTTTAAAATTACATAGAAGTATTAACTTGCATTTTTCGCAAAATAAATATGTAATATTAATTCGTTCCAAGTTTTCAAGTATTTCAGTTTGAAAAACTCAAATATCTTTCTTTTGTAATTTTAATAAAATTTAATTATTTTTAAATATTTATATTAATTGCAATCATTAATGTAATAAATATAAGCTACAGATACACTTTACATAAATTTTAAATTAGACACTTTTTGTTTCTAACACTATTTAAAACCAAATGTAATAATGGCTGTTAATATTATATATAGCTAATTACACATACTTAAGATCATATTTAACTGTAAAATAAGTTTTGAATAACAGATTAATAAATAAAATAAAAAGAAACACAGATATCTTCTACTATTTCTAGAGATTTCATTGTAGCGATGAATGAGTAAAAATTTTGGAATTCACAAATTACTTTTTCATAATTTGCCGTCATAACTAAAATTTGGTTTTGTTTTATACTGGAACGTTAAATCAGTTGACTGTTTCCATATGAAATGACGTACAGTACGTAAATCCATATTAGGATCAACGACCTAAAATTTTTAAGATTTGTAATTAATGTAACTTCACTCATTAATATCAGTAATTCTGATTATTTACCACATCATTGCACCATAACTCAATACGATCTTCTGCGGGTACTTGAGAACCTTCAGAATTTGCATCACTTTGACTATTTTGTGACGAATTTCCCCCACTGGGAGTACTTTCACATCCAATAACTTTTTCTAACACATGCTCACAGACTTTTCGACATTGTATAAATTCATTTGCGACAAGACGATCCTATATTGAAAAATTTATATTGAAAGTGGAGTGAGTCTTTCAGATTTGCAATACATAACCTTTTTAGTACGCTCTGGTTTAACCATTTGTGGATGTGGTTGCAAGAAAAATGGAATCTTCAAGAATTTTGGTATTGTTTTCTCTATAACAACATCCGTTACCCACTGTGGAACAGTCTCATGTAAAAGAGTACTCTCACTTTCTCCAGCAGCATCACGAACTAATAAACGACAAACTGTACGTCCACCTACTTCACTATGATTATAAAAACTGAATTATTTTATGAAAATTTTATATATTTATTTTAATATATACCTGAATATAACTGGGGTATGTTTCGGAACTTGGAAATACCCATTTCCTCTCACATCAGGCTCTAACTCATTTTGAGGCAAACTATGCGGTGGTGTCCAATGTTCTAATAAAGCCTCAAGAAGTAATTTCCCGTAATTAATCTGTAAAAAATTTTTATATTTAATGCAAGATTTGTAAAGATATTTTTAAAATATGCTTAAAGAAATAATATAATAAATCAGTTAAATAGGGTTCAAATCTAATTGCACCATGCTTCACTTAATGCACTACAAAAATATGGAAACAAAACAAACCTTAATTTCAGATGTTGGTTCTGCACACTCTGGTAGCCCAGCTTCAATTGAAACCCATGCTGAAAAGCAATCAATCTCATCTTGCCCTAATACTATAGTTGGCATCTATATATATACATAAATAAATCATTTAAATTTAATTTATGAAATACTTTTCAGAATATGAAATATCTTACCCCTGTCTTAAGATCAACAGTAAACCAATTTGGAATATAGACCTGCTTATTTCTTTTTTTAGTTTCTTCTTCGAACTCTACTTTACCCAAATCTTCTTTTTTTAAAATACGTAAAATATCATATATAGCGACATTATCTTCAGTATCTTTAGTAACGATATGTCTTTTGTCATTTAACACGCTGCATTTCTTAATAGCTGCACCACCTATGCTCATATTAATAATAGTGTTAGAAAATTTAAAACTAAAACCGTTTTTTAAAAACGAACCTTTAATGTTTGCTAACTCGGTACCGCTCCCAGAAAACGACCATACTGCATCCATGCCTCCACTGGACGTAAGAGATGTTTTATCAAAGAATGGAAGTTTCCAGCAACGAATATCTGAGTTCCATGTTGTTGCCCATACACCTGTCTTATCAATATTGTAGCATAGACTTAGAACTGGTGCCTGTTCTTCACATACTACGACCGAGTTACTTGGATTACGAAGCTCTGTAACAATAATATGTCTGTCTCGGCTACCCGAAATTACATATTGAAAACTTTCATTCATTAAAAGTGACCAAACACCTTCTTTATGAACATGTATTGTTTGGACACAACGCTGCTGTCCTATATTCCATATTTTGATCGTACCATCTGAGCTTCCTGAAATTATTTGAGTGCCATCCGGTGAAACAACAAGTGCGCGGACATTTTCAGTGTGCCCACGTAGTTTCATGCTTCGAGTACATGTACGAGGATCCCAAATACGCAAGATATTTTCGGTAGAACCACTTACTATAATTGTTCCTGAAGGATTCATCGCAAGACTATAAATTGAATCTTTTGAACCGGTAAGACTTGAAGCTTAAAAATATGATAAAAAATTATATAAATGCCAGATTACGATATATTAAATTCATACTTGTTACGGTGTTATTACTAGCAGTTAATGCGGTAAGCGTATTAACATCCCATAAAAATATCGCTTTATCCAGACCTGCACTTGCAACTTGTTCTCGATCTTTTGCATAAGCTAGTGCCTGCACATAGTCCCTATGCGTGCGTAAAGTGGACATACAAAATCCTTTTTGTGCATTCCACACCTTCACGGTAGTATCGCAACTTGCACTGATCACTGGCAGAAATATAAAATTTTATTTAAAAAAATTTATTTTAAATCAACCAAATTTTTATTCACAATTTCGTCCATTGCAACAGAGCACAATATCGTTCACCCAGTCATTATGGTGTTCCATGGACTGTATGTATTTTTCATTAGATTCAGTTTTAGTATTCCATACTCGGATAATAGCATCTCGTCCAGCTGAGTATAATTTCCCATTATTATAATCCAACTGCAAAGCGTTCACACCGTTTCTATGCTGTTTTTCCTCTGCGTCTCGAATAACAAAAGATACCTTTAACAAGTAGTTAGAGAATATATAAATGCAACATGCATCCACTAATTTTTACAATTGATAAAAATATTTATTGCATAAATCCAAAGTTCGTTAATTTTAAAATAAAAAAAATTACGAATTGGATATGTACCTGCATTTTTTTTCTTTGACAATTTTTGGTCGTCAACATTCTTTCCTGTAAGAAAATTTTAAAAATTCTCTTCCCCTCTCGAGTTAACACAATTTACAAAGTTATTTCTGTCGATTTTCATTTATATTATCACTTTTTATTTACTATCGTTCAGAAAAATCATGTTCCTTTAATCGAAAACTGTAAAAAATGTATAATGTAATTTTCACTCAATTTTCATCTTCATTTATCTCAATCAAAGTGGGCAAGGTTGCTATACCAATAAGCCGACAATAGATAAAGCTACTACTATTGGCTAACAGGGCGCACAGGTTGTTAAACATTTGTGTATATTCAAATTGAACATTTATAGTTCAATAGGATACCTGTTATTTTTTTACATTCAAATAATAAGTTTAACTTAATGTTAAACTTATATGGCGTTTACATTGGCCGAAAATGGCTCATTTTGGTCAAAAATCGAAAATGAGTATCGAATGGCTCATTCTTGCATATAAAATTTCAAGCACAAAATGAGCAATTTTCTCACATTCTGTATGAATGACGTTCGAATGCATTCCACATATGTTCCAAATGCAAAGGAATCTATTGAACATACCCTAAATGAAAGCTCTTCATGGCATTTTGACAGTTTGAAAAAGCTGCTTTGACATATTTACAAAAAAAGATAAACAAATGTTTGGTGGTTGCATTTTCTTTAAAACGATGCACCAATTTTTGGAACTTCTACTTCCCAAAAATAAATAAATCGAATCTAGAAACAAGTTTTCAGTTTATATTGTAAGGTTTGAAGGTATATTTAACCTTCCTGTAACATTTTTTTGGTACAGACCAAAAATTAAATCAACATACAAGTTGAAAAATCAGCTGTTTGAAATGAGAAAAAATGAAATACAACGAATGTAAACACTTTCAAATGACTCATCCAAAATGAGCCATTTTCGGCCAATGTAAACGCCGTATTAGTGTGACATGTATGACTAATAAAAAAAATTTTAATCCATTCAGAACTCAATATTGCGAAGTTTTTCTTTAGCAATTGTATTAACCCAGGTTTTCACATATGTTTAAAGTCAACCACAAATATTTCCGGTGATTATTCTTACAGCTGTAAATCTATGACAATACTTTTACACTATCACAGTTAACTCAACATATACACAGCAGTTTTATCTTCAAACAAAATCCATAAAAAAGTGTTTTATTAGCTTATAAACCTATAAGTAATTATTAGGTCTATTCTCAAAAGTCAAGCATATGTAACATGCGAATAAAACATATTTTCTCTCTGACACAAACTGTTCACACGGAAAGTACACAGTACATATGTAATAATATATAAAAACTCATAATAAACTAAAAAGTGTTTTGTTTAAATGAAGAAATATGGTTTTTGAATTGCAAATGCATTTTTTATTAATTTTAATCTTAATCACAGCAATGGATTTATTTCATTTATACATATTTTTCAGTACGTGGAATATTTATTATTCATTATTTATTATATATTCAGAAACAAGATCCACCAGCAAACTGCTGCGTTCCACCAGCAAATTTTCGAGTAAATGAGATCACCTGAGAGAGCGAAACAGACTTTACTCGTACATTTTATTTCATGTTTGAATTTAAATTTTTATATTGTTTATTTATTCTCACCAAACTTTTCACAAAGATGTATCATGAAAATCTGTGTATAGAGTGAAATTTGACATTTTATTTGTGTTACGTTCTCAGTTTGTACTTTACTTGCGTTTTACATGAGTTTCACTACGAGTAGCTCGTGGAACAGACCTACAATATAAGTGAGTGGTTTACATCTTAAAAAACTTGTAGTAATGTAAATGATAGGAGCAGAATTTGGATATCAATAAAGTTGGTTTAAAGATTCTATCTATTTGTACTTACCATAGTAATTATATGATGACAAAACATTCACTGTTATCGTTCTTTTCAACATAATTTGTAATAAAGTAAAGCATGATATAGAAGATGTTACATGTATGCAAACCAAGTATAACGTGCTACCAAATCATACTGTATATATTCAAATATGCATTATACTATGTATGCGGTATAATTACAACTCGTTTCACTGTAACGCAAAGCGGATAGTTGATCCGTACATACATGTAGCATTCTCTATACCAGGGCTATCCAAACCAGATGCTGTATAGATCACTGTATAGATTGGGGGCCGCAGAAGCAAATACATCTGTTAATACATAGTCTTATTAGTTTTACACCAAAAGAAAATTTGCGGTGTTCCCAATAAGAAATGATGGTGTTGAAATTCCACCACCTAGTCATAATAAAGTTTGTGTTGCTGTACAGCGCCTTAAGAACAACAAAGCAGCAAGCGCAGTCAGCTTACCTGCAAAATTGTTCAAGCCAGGCGCGATATGCTGATAGAGACCAAGAGCTTATTTGCGTCAATTATCATGTAAAACGACCTTTTGTTACTGTGTATGAATGATTTTCAGAGCGGCCTGGCTTTAGACCTGGTCGCTCCACCATTGACTAAACCAGATGATTCGTTACTAATAAGTTTATATTTATTACCATTGCTTTTAATTCATTATTCATTTTAATTTTCAATTTTATTTTATTTATTTTTCTGCAAAATGTAGTTTGCTTGAATTATGTTGCTGTCCAGTGCTTCAAAGTGAAGTTCAATATGAATTTGGCACACTACTAGTATAGAGAAATTTCACAGTCTGGCAGCATCACATATTTTATTACAAATTAATTTGCATACTATTTGATATTAAAATATCCAAAATCATTAAGTATTAAAGTTTATTGTGCGTTGTGATATTAATATATAATGGCTATTTGTATATCAATAGTTGGGAAGGATGTAAATACCTAATCATATTTATATCGATTTTTAAAATATGTAACTTATGACATTACAGAATGCTCCACTATATTTTTCTACATCGGACATGGAAAAAGAGCTAGAGTTGCAGTATAGAGTACATGCAGCACTTGATGTAGTGGAAGAAAAATGTCAGCCGTCCAACAAGGGAACATCTGACTCGAAGGAGTTGTACTTGGGACTTTTATATTCTACAGAAGCTAATAAAATGTGGGTGACATAAATTTGTGGGTTGTTAAAATAGTACAAATATGCAAATA